CCAACCCCCCCCCCCCCCCCTCACACACGCACACCCAAAAAAAAAAAATTTTACTTCACAGTTTTGAGATGCATTTGTTAGGCGATGAGTACCTTAGTTGGCGCTAACTAATTCTTCTCAGTCCTTTACTTTAATTGTTGTTAGGTGGCCAAGAGTTCATGGAAGTGGGAGAGTTTGGCGCTGCTGATGTCTTTGGGGGAGAGCAATACGTAGGCCTATATAATTTTTAGGGACGAGAAATTGACTGGGAAAAAGACACGAGTGGTTCTATGCTAACAAAATAGTAGATCGGGGTGGTTTTGTCTATTTGAGTAATTAGGAACGGTAATCGTGAAATAGGGCCTAAGAGCAGCTCCAACGGGGAGGCTGCAAAAACGCAGCCTCCCCAAATAATATTCCCATGCATATTTTGTTTTAGGAGGGGGACTCCAACCACCCCATCTATATGAAACTCCATTTAAAAATATATATTATTAAATAATTATTTATATAATACTTTAAATAATTTGAAAATGAAACTCCATTTAAAAATATATATTATTAAATAATTATTTATATAATACTTTAAATAATTTGAAAATATAAAATAATAAAAATATATGAATTAATTTAAAATATATTATAAATTAATACTAAAATTATAATATATAATATAATCATATATTTAAATAAACAACAGAGGAAGAAACAAGTATTAATAACATGATAATAGATGTTAATAATCAGAGGTAAGCTGTCGCTGATAAATATGGGTTTGGGGTTTGCCTGGTCTCCCATATTTATTTGGAGTATTTTGTCCTCTGTGGGCGGTTCACGCTGTTCGAAGCGGCCACTCCACTGGGCACTGATGTAACGATCCCATACTTCATCATAAAGCATGATCTGTTCGTCTTCTTGGATTTCAACGATATCGACCGTAGCCATGTTGACCGTGAAGTCTTTGAACAGGGCCCCGATGCTGACATCTGAATTCCAAGTCGAGGACGTTGATGATTGATCATCTGAGTGAGCATCGTAAGATATTCTGTCGAAATTGCAATACAACTCCGAGGAAGAGGAGGAGTAACCTAGCCCTCTTCGAGTTTTGCCATAGTAATTGTCAGGCTTCCCTTTGGGTACGTAGGCGGGTCGGAGAGACGTCTTCCGGCCCTTGCCGTACTTCAAGCCTTCTTTGCGGATGAAGTCATAACTCATGTTTTCCATCATGCTCTTTGCGACCTGGCCGTAGCATGAGAATTGAGGAGCGGGCTCGTCTTCGTCTGACTCATCCTACAATGTACGTGGGGGCTGGTCTATCCTTCCGAAGATAATCTCTTGCTGAGAAATATTTCGGGCAGGTACGACAAAGACAGCTTGTGAGGACTCAATCATTTGCTTGTTGGTGACAAATGACGAGTTCACAAGCAAGTGCATGGTAGAGTCGTTAGACAACCTTGAAATTAGACGGCTGAATTCGCCATGACTAGATTCTGAACCTGACGACGAGTAAGCAAATGCAAGTCCTTCATTCAGGCTAAGCTCGTCCGCTTCATCAGTGTTGGCTATGACAAGGTTATTGTAGCCGATTACAATGGGCTTGATGTCGTTGAAGACGAGACCCTCGTTGTTCTCAGACTCGTCGTCGGCTTTATTGCCACGGTTAGGCTCTTCCATCGGGGACTTGCCACCCGGTTCAGAGTCCTGGTAGAGTAAGGAATCGGTGAAGTAGTTTTCAACCCCCTTGAAGGGCTGCTTATCAGCAACCACCGCCTTCACTTGGTTGTAGTCGTCCACATATTTCAGACATTGGTGTAGTGTGGATGGGACTATCTGGTTGTTGTGGATCCATGGACGACCAAACAACATGTTGTATGAGGGTTCTATATCGATGACATAGCAGGTCACCTTAGTTTTCATATCGTCTAGTCGGCACTTGAGACGAATCTTCCCAAGTGGTCGGGTCCCGGTAGCGTTGAAGCCAAAGATGGTGGTGGTTGTTGAAGACAACCACTTTTGAGGTATCCCCAGGTGATTGACGAGCTTTAGTGGGACAATGCTCAATGCAGACCCTGGATCCACTTGAATACAATCTACTCAGGAGGAGCCGACATATCCCGTGAAGTACAGGGGTCGATCGTGAGACGTGCTCTTGATGAGCATGTCCTCCAGAGTGAAAGTGATACAGGGGATCCGCTGTTCGAATGTTTGGCAGCACTGTGGACATCCCATTCCTACCTCTTCTTCCAGAGTGGGCAAGAAATGTGTGGCAAATGCTTCTGAATCGGTCAGCGCTTCTCGCAGGGCTTCGCGGGTCGTCTTAGATAATCACAGGAGCTTGTACAGGATGATCCTAGCTTGAATGTTCTTCAGCTGGGTGAGCAGGTCAAACCAAAAGGGTCGATCGCTCAAACTCGTCCTGTTAGAATTTGATTAGACTGCTGGAGGAGGTCCTACCGGAGGCCTTACCGGACTTCCTGCTATAGGAGGGTAGTTCTTGGCAAAGTCATTCCCTGCTCTAGTGATTAGTGCGTCTGCCTCATTGTTAGAATCGGTGAAGTTGCTATCTCTGCCCTACCATCGTCTGGGATCGCCGAGATGGTGTTGTAAAGCTTAGCTTTGCCTTTGGACTTGCTAGAAGTTCATTGCTTGTCGATGAGGAGATTGGGATGAACTCACATCACCTGTCCTAATGGTAAGATCTACGGTACTAAGCCTTTTAACCGTTGATTGTGAGAGTCATCATTGACAATCTTCAGTTCTGCCTTCGGGATAGGTACAACACCTGCTGGTGTGTGAACCTTGGGAAGGCCCATCCCAAATTTGAGAGTGATCATGTTTGACGTCACTTTCTTTTGGACTTTCTCCTTTGTTAGGACTCCGGTCTCGTAGAGTGCTTGCAGTTTGTCTTTGATGACATAGCACTTGGAGGTGGGATGACCAACGAATCTGTGGAAGGCGTAGTAATTGGGGTAATCTGTCTTGTTCGCATCCTCCGGCTTCAGGATTTCTGAAAGCTTGATTTTGTTTCTCCGAAGGAGAGTGTCGAAGGTAGGCACTACCAAGTCCTCATCGAAGTCATAGCGCCTAGGAGGGCGCTATTCATATGGCTTGGTCTTCGAGCGCTGAGCTGATTTGGGGGCTGGAGTAGACAGCCATAATCTCTTTCCCCTTTGATCGAGGGTTCCAAGAGGTGTTTGGTTCCGAAGTTCTGTTCTTGGACTGCGGCTCTTCGGCTTCCATTTGCTTGATTATGTTTTCAACTTGCTCGCCTTAGCGAACAAGTTCTTTCTAGGTCCGGATTTCCACCGCGCCAATCCTGGATAGGATGTCGATTGAGAGGTTGTTGCAACACATCTCAACCAAGGTGCTTTGAGAGACCAGGTCTCGGCATTGGAGAGATCGAATCCTGAATCTCTTCACGAAATCGTTGACTGACTCCGTCTTCTTTTGCTTGTTAGCGAGCAGGGTGGCCATTGATACTTTCGTATTATCGTCGAAGAAATGGGCTAAGAAAAGCATCTCCACATCGGCTCAGGCATTGATGGAGCCTGGTTCCAGCTTGCGAAACCATTCAAAGGCTATCCCTTTTAGGATGCCGATGAACAGTCGGGTGAGAATGTCATCATTTACCATAAGGAATCCTGTCTGAGACAGGAAGTAGTAGATATATTGGGAGGGAGATCGCCTACCATCAAACTGGACTAGGCTCACTGGTTTGAATTTCGTCGGGTAGGAAACCGCGTCCCATTCGAGCAGATACAGCCTAACCACCCCCAGCTCGTTCATGTTCTTCTGGAGCTTGAGGGCATTGATCTGACTCTGGAATTCATCGAATCTCTTGTCCGAAGG